CAGCTCGAGCCTACGAGCTCAAGTCCCCCTGTCGGACAACTTAGCCCCCACCCAGAAAATATATCTTAGAACCGCCACTGCGTAATGTTTGCTTGTTCCGTCGCCGGAACTATTTTAGGCGTGGGGCGGGGTGGTTTGCGGTAGTCTTGGGGTTATTCTATTTTCGGAAAGTTTTGTTTTTTCTAGATGCTGAGAAATGAACTTGCGTGCATTACGAGACTTCTCTTGATGAATGAATAAATTAACACTGAATTAATAGATTTCCCCCTGTTTTAGCATGAACAATAATTGCGATGATGGTTGATGATGATTAGAAAAGCTGATTAAAAGTTACTGTAGTGTTCAAGGCATTACAGTATTGCAATATAATCAAAACCTTATACTGTATATATAATACTTTATTCATTTATTCCTTTCTACTTCATTTATACATTTGTAAACAGAAGGTAATCAAAAAGCTCATTTAGAAGGTCCAGTATAAATTTTTATTACTGAAATAATTTCTATTTATTATATTCTATTTATTATTTATTGTCATCAATATTATGGTAAAGCGAAAAAGTAACTACCTCTTCTATGTGTGATACCAAATGGGTCTTCATGTTCGTATTTTTAGCTCCGATGAGGAGCTCTAGAAGCACTTGGCTAATTAATAGATCTTTTTTTAGCTCTACTGCCTCTATTATAATGCCCTCATGAGGCTGATTGATTAATAGTTGATTGATCAATACAGTTAAACTTGCCCAAGTCGAATAACTTCTAAGTCGATCTTATTTTACATGGCAAATTGTTGTGTTTTCCATTAACAATCTGTATGTTGAATTTCATCTATTAAGTCAACAGTATTTCAATGGCATTTTAGATTCGACTTAGGCAAGTTCAACTGTTCAACTGGTAGATCTTTTTCAGTTCTATTGCCTCTACTGTCCTCACAAGGAGCTCTAGAAACACTTGGCTGATAGATTAATAGTTGATTAATTAATAGATCTATTTTAGAACTACTGCCTCTGTTGTATTGCTCTTATCGGAGCTTCAAAATCTTGTTTTTTTTAACTTTTATTCAAGCACAGTAACAAAAACAACAAAATTGTACAATATATACAATTATTTTCCTTTGAAGACAATTGACATAAAAATCATAGTATTCACAAATAAGCTGGAACACATGTTTAAAGCAGTAGTTGGTGTCTGTCATCACAATGACAAAAGGGCCATAACCAACTCAGCACCATCATGGTTGGTGCTAAGGTAAAAAAAAAAATTGATCTGGTGCTCTACTAGTTACGGGATTAGACAGTTCTCTTGGAATGTTGGGAGGGGTGGACACGAGAAGATAAACGGACAATTATTTATTTACAAATGGTCAGCAATAGGAAATTTGAAAAAATTATTAAAAAGTCTTTCATTTCTTAGAGTTCACATTCTTACACGATAGGGAGCTTTTGATTACAGGACGACGGTACGACGTAGAACGTAATGACGTCACTAACAGTCATCTGTGCAGGCGAGAACGTTAAAGCCCCATTCCCGGCAAAATTTCAGTTTTTAAGAAAAATCTAATTTTTGTATAATGTTATAAAGATTTATAAATATAATACGGAATTACTAGTTTAACTGAATTTAGACATTCCTAAGATTGAAAAAAATGTAAAATAAGACTGAAATTTGATTTTTTGTGTTCCACACAAAAAATAAATGTGGATGAATTTTTCATGTTTGATTTTGCGATAGGCCGTGAGAAGAAATATCGTAGGCGCCGAAAACATTAGCCTATCCAACGCTGCTAGGCTAGGCCTAGCCTTACCTCGATTTAGGTTCTGTTATCACCATAAAAACGGCCGACATGATATTTTCCGTTGCTAC